GCCTTCTCCCCATTGAACCCGCACTTAATGGTCGAATCCGAGGCAGGTCATCGGCCTCCTGTCACCGTCGTCACTTTTGGGCTCCTGAGGCCTGAGGCGGGAGCCTCGTCTGTGAGTGAATCGCGAGCAAGTCTCAGGCGGGAACGCCCTCCCTATGGGGCCCGCACTTCATGTTCGAATCCGAGGCGGGCCATCGGCCTTTGTAACTGTCGTCACTTTTGGTCTCTTGAGGCCTGAATATGGACGAAGGATGGGGCGGGAGCCTCGTCTGTGAGTGAATTGCGAGGAAGTCTCAGGCGGGAGCGCCCACTCTATGGGGCCCGCACTTCATGTTCGAATCCGAGGCGGGTCATCGGCCTCCTGTAACTGTTGTCACTTTTAGGCTTCTGAGACTTGAATTTGGAGGCAGTATGAGGCGGGAGCCTCGTCTGTGAGTGAATTGCGAGGGAGTCTCAGGTGGGAGCCTTCTCCCTATGGGGCTGGCACTTCATGTTCGAATCCGAGGCGGGTCATCGGCCTCCTGTAACCGTCGTCACTTTTGGTCTCCTGAGGCCTGAATATGGAGGGGGTATGAGGCGGGAGCCTCGTCTGTGAGTGAATTGCGGGGAAGTCTCGGCGGGATGCCCCTTCCTATGGGGTCTGCACCTCACGTGCTTTCTCTGGGTCGTCCTCCGCGCGAGTTTCTGTCTGGGTCATCTTCTGGCCTGGCGCGTAGCCGCTGGGACGCACGTCGTGCGTTTCCTCTAGGTCGTGTTCCGCACGAGGAGGAGGAGGAGGAGAAGGAGGAGGAGGAGGAGGAGGAGGAGGAGGAGGATGCAGGACGAGAAGGAGGAGGAGGAGGAGGAGGAGGAGGAGGAGAAGGAGGAGGAGGCAGAGGGGGAGCAGGACGATGAGGAGGAGGAGGAGGTGGAGGAGGAGGAGGAGGAAGGGAGACGAGGAGGAAGAGGAGGCGGAGGAGGGAGACGGAGAGGAGGAGGAGGAGGAGGAGGAGGAGGAGGTGAAGGAATGGGAATGGGAATGGGCTCGATGACGAAGTCATGCCGAAATAAAAATTAGAGTTTGGACTTGGGCCTAAGGCCCCTCTCAAAACGGTCCAAAAACTCCCGCCCCTTCTTGGAAATATGCTGGGGATCGCAGGGCAGGGCCAACCCGCGCATAACGAGTTCCCCAAAGAATCCGCAACTCCCGCATATCCAAACTCCAGAATCCAGAGAGAAAAAAACATATCATGCGAGCTATGAGCGAACCTCCCCCCCCGACATGAACTCTAAACCCCCGCGGAGGCTTGAGAACCCGTCCTGACGCCTGAAGCTCCGCGCACGGCGAGGCCAGCCAGGCCGTCCTGGCGGCCGCCGACGCAGAGCATCTACACCGCGTGCACCTCGTCCCCGCCTGGTCCAGCAGATGGACGGAGGCGAAGAGGGCGACGGCGGCAGGAGGGGGAGGAGCAGGCGGGGGCAGAGCAGCAGCAGCAGCAGGAGGGCGCTCAGACGAATTTTCAGCCCGACGCACCTGGACGGAAGCTTCCATCGCAGCCAACGTGGACCTCATTAATCGTCTTCGCATCAGCCTCGCCATATTCTCTGCTTTTTCCACTCGAATTCTATGGGCTTCAGCAACTCTGGAATTCTGGGCGGCGACTCTGGCGAGTTCATCGGCGGCCTCGTTACCTGCAACCATCCAGCTGGGGTAGCGACGAAACACATTGTCGGACGGAACGACATGCGATGCCACTTTTTAGACCACAACCGAACCGATGCGAGCCTTCAACCGCACACCGATCTCTCTCCAAATGGACGCGAGGGCTCCATACGGCCGTTCGTATAGCCGCTCGTACCAACCCCTGGCGACCTCTTCATTGTCAGTAGTGTAAATCAAATCCCCAAGAGACAAACGAATGGCCAACTCGAGGCCTCTCAACTCCCCCTTCGGAACGGACTGGTGTCGCCCAGTGAGAGGACCGACAACGACGGGTCCGAGAACAAAGGGAGACAAAGACAGCGCCGAGCAGATGCCAATACCGACTCTCCTCAACCTTTCATCCCTCCCCTCCTTCCCAGCAGAGGCATCACCAAAAACGTAAAGGGGTGCCTGCTCCGTGCCCACAACCAAGGCGCCTGGGATGAGCTCGTTGGCCAGCAGGTCAGCGTGAAGCCACTGCTCTTGCTCGGGCGGCGGCGGCACTGCTGTCCAGCTTGCGGGCAGGAGCCCACGATGCCAAAAGCATGCTTCGCTCTGGCCTTGGGATAAGGCCTGCGGCACAAACTGATCTGAGGAGGAGGTGAAGGAGGAGGAGGAGGAGGAGGAGGAGGAGGAGGAGGAGGAGGGAGAGGGGGAGGAGGAGGAGGAGGAGAAGGAGGAGAGGAGGAGGAGGAGGAGGAGGAGGAGGAGAGGAGGAGGAGGAGGAGGGAGGAGAGGAGGAGGAGGAGGAGGAGGGGGAGAGGGAAAAAGAGGAGGACACGGAGGAGGAGGAGGAGGAGGAGGAGAGGAGGCAAGAGGAGGAGGAGGAGGAGGAGGAGGAGGAGGAGGAGGAGGAGGAGGAGGAGGAGGAGGAGGAGGAGGAGGCAGAGGCAGGGGTTAAGGCAGGAGGAGCAGGCAGGCAGGAGGAGAAGGAGGAGGCAGCAGTAGGTGGTAGAAGAGAGGGCGCAGGAGGGTATCCCTAGGCAAGTTAAACAGATGATCATGTGGGGCCCTACCGTCGGAGTAGCTCTCAATTTTCGGCTTCTGGGGGCCCGCGGTGGATTTCGGGTCCGTGAGAAAAGACGCACGATAAAAAAAACTGGCCCCAGGGAATGGGTCGTGATCTCTGGGGGTCGACGATCGACGATCGATCCATACCCCTGCTGCTGCCCCCCAGTCTGCGCTCCAGGGGAAGCATGGCATGGATAACAAACGTGGCCTGGGGAGCCTGGGGTGTATCCATATCCCAGCTCTGGCTTCTCGTGGGGTCCGGGTCGCGAGCAGGGACATGCAGAAAGTGTCGATCGCCTGATGAGTGACTTGGTGTGCCTGCTACGTAGCATGTACCAGGCACAGCAAGTCACCACGTATCGAGGAACAGACAATGACGTAGACGTAAGCTTTCGGAGGTTCGCGCGGTTTTCTCGGATCGGCGTTGGAGCCCCCCGGAGGCGCCTCAGGCGCTACCCCTGGCGCGCTCCGCCCGCACGACACGGAGGAGGGTCCAGCGACGATAGAAGAAGTCAGCGCGGACCTTCGAACGTTAATGCTTACGCCATTCTCTGCTCCATTCAAGCAGGAGGCTGCCCTGCTACCGTGGGGGGCGTTCGTTAGGGAATGTGCCTGGGAGGCTTAAGACCCTGGGCGATTCCTTACCCGCTGAGGGCAGCGGTGATAGCCATGGCCGAGCCCAAAGTGGTGTTCGCACCAGCTTCCAGACCCTGGGCTCGTTCTCTCAGGGTTCCCTCCTCGATGCCCTCGCCGCGGTGGCCTGCCCCCCGGCGCTGGCCTGGAGGTTGGGCCACGTGTCCGTCCCCGGAGATGCCCCACGCCTGCTCGCTTCCAGAACTCGTGCCAGCACGCGTCCTGTGCACTCGAGGCGAGGCACAGCAGGCCCTCCCCACCGAAGCCCGTGCCCCACGGGAGTGCCCCGAGCGCCCGAGGGGCCCGCCGAGGCCCCCCCCCCGGGGGCGCCTCGCGCAGCGCCGCGCTGCCCTTTTTTTTGGGGGGGCAGGGCCCCCGGTGGTGCCGCGCAGAGCAGGGGCGCGCCGCGCGCGCCTCGGGCCGCGGCCGTGGCGCGCTCGCCTCTCTGGCGGGGCCCGCCTGCCGCCGGGGGCCATGCGCGAGCGCTCGACGGGCGCGCGGGCGAGCGAGGCGCACGCTCTCTGTAGAGGCCGCCGGCGGGGATCAGGGGCGGTGCGCCCCAGCGCGGGGCGGTTCGGGGCAGCCGGAGGGCGGATCGTCATCGTCATCGTCCTCGTCCTCCTCGTGCTCCTCCCTCCTCCTCCTCATCATCATCCTCCTCATCCTCCTCGTCCTCCTCGTCCTCGTCCTCGTCCTCCTCCTCCTCCTGATCCTAGGCCCGAACGCGGCGCCTCCCCATTTCAAATTCCCGTCTGGGTCCGATGACGGCGGGCGTGCAAGAGAGGGAAAGGAAAGGAAAGGACGAGGGCGGCCGCGCAGAAGGAGGGGGAGGGACGAGCACTCAGGCGTGGCAGGGTTCCGCAGCGAGCGGGCCGGGGCGGCCGGCCGTGGCAGCGGTGACCGTGGCAGCAGCCGTGCCGGGGCGAACGAACGAGAAGCTCACACCCATACTCCATGGGGAGGTCGGAGGGAGGAGGGCTGGCTGTGGGTGTGGGTGCGGCTTGTCGGGCCACTGGGGGGGGCCCCCCTTCGAGCTGGGACCCCCATTCGACAACACGCACCCATGGCCCCGTCCGCCCCCCCTAGGGGTATGTGTGTGTTGTGCGTTCGTCGAATGCGGGCTGCTGCTGACGCAGCCTACAAGTTGAGCTCGTGCCGCGCGGGCGCGGTGCACTGCCCCCCCAAAGAATAGCACGGTGCGCATCGTGTCGACCGGCGGCGACCCCGCCGCCGGCGCACAGCGTGGAGCGCCGCCGGCGACCCGGAATCGGTCGATGTCGAGCGATCTGACCTTTTGGAAGCGGCCGATCGCTCAAGGTGGAACGAGGCTCGCGGTGTCCGAGACCCACGCCGAGCTCGGCAAGTAGAGGAGGAGGAGGCGGAGGAGGAGGAAGAGGAGGTGGACAAGGAGGGCAAGGGGGACGAGGAGGAGGAGGAGGAGGAGGAGGAGGAGGAGGAGGAGGAGGAGCGGGAGCAGGAGCGAGAGGAGGAGAGGGAGGAGGAGAGGAAGGAGCTTGGAGTTTGGAGGAAGGAGGAGGAGGAAATGGAGGAGGAGGAAAGGAGGAGGATGGAGGAGGAGGAGGCGGAGGAGGAGGCGGAGGAGGAGGAGGACGCACCGCACGACAAGAGCCTGCTTCATCGCAAGCGCCTGCTGTAGGGGCACCCGTCCCGGACGCCGCCGGCAGGAGCTCGAGAGCTGGCTGCTCCTCGGGCGCCCGCCGCCGGCCTTCGACTTCCCGGCCCACCGCTGGGGGGACGAGGCCCTTCCTCCTCCTCCTCCTCCTCCTCCTCCTCCTCTCCTCCTCCTCCTCCTCCTCCTCCTCCTCCTCCTCCTCCTCCTCCTCCTCCGCCGGGGGGACGAGGCCCGCCCCGGCGGCGGAGCCGCCGCGCCCCCGAGCCCGAGCGCCGCGCGGGCCAAGAAGAGGGCGAGGCTCCAGGACCACGGCGACAGCGGAGCCCGGCCCACGGCGGCGACGTACCGACGGCGACGGCGAGGGACGGCGAGGGCGACCGACGGCGGCGACCGGCAGCGACGGCGACGGACGGCGACGCGCGGCGGCGACGGCAGCGGAGGGCCGACGGCCACGAACGACGGCCGGACGACGGCGGCGACAGATCGACGGACGGATGGACGGACGACGACGACAGACGGCAACGCAGGCGGTCCCAGGACCACGACGACGACGGATCACGACCGACGATGAAGACGGACGGCAACGGCGACGGCCTCGGCCACGGCGACGGCGACGGTACCAACGACGGCGACGGACGGCCGCGTAAACAGAGGAGGAGGAGGAAGAGGAGGAAGAGGTCGAGGAGGAGGAGGAGGAGGAGGAGGAAAAGGAGGAGGAAGAGGAGGAGGAGGAGGAAGAGGAGGAGGAATTGAAGGTGGTGGAAGGAGGAGGAGGAGGAGGAGGAGGAGGAGGAGGAGGAGGAGGAGGAGGAGGAGGAGGAGGAGGAGGACGACGACGATGACGACGACATCGGGCGACGTCGCTGGCGGTGGCGCCGCCAACGACTCCGCAGGACCTTTTCCTCGCCAAGCAGGCCGCGGAGGTGTCCGCGCTGCGCACGTGGGAGGGCGAGGGCCCGGAGCGGGCCGGCGCGCTGGTCTTCATGGGCGACAGGGCCGCCGCGAGGGAGGCGGCGGCGGTCGCCAGAGGGGGTTGCGCGGCGAGCCACCTGGCCATCCCTCGGCTACTCGTAAGGGTGCTCCTCCGCGGGGGTTGTAGCCTTTGCGCAGGCCCACGGCGGCCCCCCGAGGCACCGGCATCGTGCGCTTGGGATCGGGGGTCCCGCGGCCCGCCCGCAGAGCCGCGCACCACAGGCCTCCTCCTCCTCCTCCTCCTCCTCCTCCTCCTCCTCCTCCTTCTCCTCCTCCTCCTCCTCCTCCTCCTCCTCCTCTCCCCCCTCCACCCCCCACCCTCCTCCCAGCCATCCTCCCCCAGGTACTCCCACCCTTGCCCGGGGTCGCTCCTGCGTGTAGCCGGATCCCGTTGTCCTGCGTTGCCGCGCGCGCGGTCGGCAGCGGCGGCTGGCTGGTGGCCACCTGCGGCGCCGCGGGGCTGGTGCACGTGACGAGCCGCGCCTCGGCGGCCACCACCTCCACCTCCACCTCCTCTCGGGGGCGGCAAAGAGGGGGGTGATGACTAGGGGGGGGTGGATATCATGGCGGGGGCCATGATATGTCCCCAGATTTCATGGCGCCTCTTCTTGCTTCATTACGTCTCTGGCCCCCCCGCTGGGCCGCGCACATGCCGCCGGTCATGATTTCCACCCCCCCCTCTTGGACACCCCCCTCTTGGCCGTTCCCGATCCTCGGTCTCCTCGGCCCTCCGCCGTCTCCCGGTCCGCCTCAGCTCAAGCAGTGGCGGAGCGTCCTGATCTGTCCATGGCCCCACCAGGCAAGGTTCTAAGTCCCTTTTTCGTGGTCGGCGCGACATGGTTTCAGATCTTGCAGCATTCCTGGCCGAGACCGTCCTGCTGGAGTGCGCCAGCTTGATGTTCTAAGCAGATGGTCTTTGTTAACACGCCTCTGTTCTAAGAGCGATCCGCGGTAGGCCTGTAGGAATGCCTGGACGGTCGGTCCCTGCTCGATCCGCCCTCCCTCCCTCCATGTCACCCCTTCGCGTCCGGAAGTGAGCTTCGAGGCCACAGGAGTCGGGGGCGGCAAAGAGGGGGGTGATGACTAGGGGGGGGTGGATATCATGGCGGGGGCCATGATATTTCCTCAGATTTCATGGCGCCTCTTCTTGTTTCATTACGTCTCTGGCCACCCCGCTGGGCCGCGCACGTGCCGCCGCCGGTCATGATTGGCACCCCCCCCTCTTGGACACCCCCCTCTTGGCCGCTCCCGAAGGAGGAAAGTCTTCATGAGTCAGACCACTAGGCTCTCCCGTCTGTGGCGTCTCGCCGTGCGTTTGCGATGCCCGTCGCGGTCAACCCTAGCACCGTCGTGTCCACCCACAAATTTCTACAGCGAGGCCAGAGGAGAGAGGGGGAAAGCGAGGGAAGGAGGCGAGAAAGAGCAGCGGGAGCAGGGTTGGCTCCGAATTCGGTCGGTGGATGGGGCCAATAGGAACCTGGCGTCCGTCGGGGCAAACCGCGTCTGCGGTCATGGTTATAACGCAGGACGATGATTAACGAAGTGCCAGGGGTCGTACTCACACGGCGGCGCCCAGGAGTATGATTAGAACAACCAGCCCCGGGAACAATTGATTTGATGGTTCTCTCCCCCCGCGCTCCTGGGCGCGCGCCCCGACGGCCGACGGGCCGAAGCGGAGGGGTAGGAACAGGGGGTTTCAAGTAGAAAGGAGGAAGTCCACAGCAAGGGGATGCAGTTACGACGAGAAACTGAAAGGATCTGTAGTTACCATGCGTTGTAATAAGGTATTGGCGATCACGAGATGCAGTTTAACATATATAGTAGGTGTTGTAGCAGAAATTGGCATCGGATCTCGGCGGTAGTTGTAACATCACGAACTGTGGTTGGGCGGTACCACTGTTACAACCGTTGTTGCAAACAATGCCCACGAGAGTTAGCACCTATCTCTAACAGTTTCTCCCACATGTTTCATGACCATCCTGTGGTGCTCGGCCCTCGTTTTGGAGAGACAGCGCCCGCCCCGCGTTCCTTCGTCTTTCCTTGTTCCTCCCCCTCCTCCCTTTTCCTCCCTCCTCCCATCCACGCCTTTGCCCTCCGCATGTCTGTTTAGGCGTACCCCTCACATGCTTCGTGGCCCCACAGGGAGCTTCACCGTAGGCCCAGATACCTGCGCTCGCATGGCGCTACCGCGCGCAGTTCGTTACACTCATCACACGTTTCGTGGCAGCACAGGGAGCTCCACCGAAGGCCCCAATGTGTGCGCTCGCATGACACCACCGCGCCCACTTCGGCACGCCTCTCACACGTTGCGTGGCCCCCTAGGGAGCTCCACCGAGGGCCCAATTGCCAGCGCCCGCGTGGCACCACCGCGCTGATTTCGGCACAACCCTTGCACGTGTCGTGGCCCCGTAGGGAGCCCCACCGAAGGCCCACACGCCAGCGCTCGCATGGCACCACCGCGCCCACTTCGGCACAACCTTCACAGGCATCGTGGCCCCATAGGGAAGTCCACTGAGGGCCCCGGTGGCTGCGCTGGCATGGCACCACCGCGCCCAATTCGGCACACCTCTCACGAAGATCGTGGCCCCATGGGAATCTCCACCGAGGGCCCCAGTGGCCGCGCCCTCCCATGTTTCGCGGCCCCATAGGGGGCTCCACCGAATGCCCAGACGCCAACGCTTGCATGGCACCACCGCGCCCACGTCGGCACACGCCTCACAAGGAACGTGGCATCATAGGGAGCTCCACCGGGGGCCCGAATGCCAGCGCTTGCATGGCACCACCGCGCCCGTTCCGGCACACCGTATCACAAGTTTCGTGGCTCCATACGGAGCCCCATTGAGAGCCCCAGTGGCTGCGCTCGCATGGCGCTACCGCGGTCATTTCTGGCACACACACACACACACCGCAAGGACCGTGGCGTCATAAGGGAGCTCCACCGAGGGCCCCAGTGGCCGCGCCCTCCCAGGTTTCGCGGCCCCATCGGGAACTCCACCCGAATGCCCAAATGTCAACGCTTGCATGGCACCAAAGCGCCCACGTCGGCACACCCCTCACAAGGATCGTGGCGTCATAGGGAGCTCCACTGGGGGCCCGAATGCCATTGTTCGCATGGCACCACCGCGCCCATTTCGGCACGCCATTTCACAAGTTTCGTGGCTCCATACGGGGCCTCATTGAGGGCCCCAGTGGCTGCGCTCGCATGGCACCACCGCACCCACTTCGGCACAACCTTCACAGGCATCGTGGCCCCATAGGGAAGTCCACTGAGGGCCCCGGTGGCTGCGCTGGCATGGCACCACCGCGCCCATTTCGGCACACCCTTCACGAAGATCGCGGCCCCATAGGAAGCTCCGCTGAAAGCGGCACCCACAACGCGGTAATCACAGTTGCGTAGGGTTGGGCCCATCGCCAGGATAAATGAATCAATCGCCATCTCGCATGACGGTCTGCGGCTCCCACGAAAAGGCGGACCGTCTGACCACCCCGCGTGCAGACAGGTCCCTGTGGTCCTTATGAGAGTTGGCAGACTTCGAGCCTTTCACGGCGTTGGATTCCGGCGTCGCGGGGGCCCTCTGGGCATTGGACCGCTTCTTGCGTCAACGAAGTGGAGCGTGGGAAGAGGATGGGGAGATTGTTTGAAGAGAGCACGCTCTATGTTTTACCAGGGTTGTGCCGCATCCGCCGTCCCCTGGGTTGCGCGTGCTTTCTTTGCTCTGTCAGGGGCGTTTGGGGATTTGTTCGTGCGGACTCGATCTTGTATTGGTTGTAGTCGGGTTTCAGTCGGCCCAGAATTCGGGGATTCAAGGGTGGCCCGGCATGGTAATGTGTCGGGATATCGACGCATGTGGCCTCGGTTGTGGCGGAGGCTTGCGGTTGGAGACTCCTTGATGTCTCTGGCTGGGGACATTAATTTCTAGGGTGCGTTCGTCGTTCTCCAAGTCGGGTTCGGCCAAAACGTTGGGCATGGCTCATGAGACTCTGGCGACCGAGCGCGCCCCCGAGGGCGCCCCAGGGCGTCGATTGTCACCTTCGCACCCCCCAGGCAATTACCAGTCGCAGGGACGAGTCGACAGGGATGTCTTGAGCGAGGAACAACGGTCATACCCAAGAGGACGCCATGCAGGGCGCGTTTCGAGGCGTGCTCGCGCGCCACCCCTACGAGTGCGCTTTTGCAGGAGGCTTCCGCGCGGGCGCATCCTTTGGGCGCGCGCGGATCGGGGCATCGTGGCACGCGACGTTGCCCGACGCGTCAACGTGTGGCGCGCCCAGACCCAGGGGGCGCGTGCATCGGGCGCCGTGCGCGGCCGCCCACAGTAGGTCGGGCGTGCGCCGCGAGAGCGATTCCGCGGGCGAGCCGCGCCCGCGCCTCTCGCAAGGGAAGTCTCGCACCCGTGATGGCCCAGGGCCGCGCCCTCTGGAGTACCCCAGTCACGTCGTTCGTGATACCCTTTTTGAGATCTCTTGAGATCTTGGCTTCCTCTGGGGGCCCTTTGCAGGGCCTCCACGGGCACCTCCGTGTTGCCTTTTGGCGCGGTGTTCTGCCGCCTTGGGCCAGTTCCAGGCTGCGAAGGGATTAGTTTGAGTATCAGAACGGCTTGGGGAACGACCTCGGCGACCTTCTGGGCGTGTCGGGTCTGCGATGCTGAGCATTGGCGGCCGCTTGCTTCCGCCATGTTGACAGTTTCGCGTGGAGGTGCATTCGTTGGGTTCCTTCCCAGGGCTTTCGCCGATTTCACAAGCCATGCGCGCGGCCCACGATATCCCTCAGTCCAATGATGCTCGTTTGGCAGATTCCAACACACATGCCAGAGTCGCACACACATATAAATGTTTAGAGCCGCTCTCCCACGCCATTCCCGCAACACGTCGCCACCACATGCCAAAAGTATCTCTCCGCGTTGTCTACCTCTTCTCCGTATAAGCTCGCGTTCGTATTATAGCCACAGCTGTTTTAGGGCATGGCGTTGGTGCAAGCAAGTGCTTCAGGTTCTCGGATCTAGCCCCGGGAGGTGGACATCAACATCGAAGCTTCCGTGGGTGTGGCCATTTCGCGCGACGTTGCTGTGACACCCTCCTGCGCAGTCGTGGCCTAACCCCGCCGCCGTCCCGCCCGCGCAGGTGATGATGATGGTGATGATGAGGATGCTGATGGAAGTGGTGGTGAGGATGATGGTTCATATGATGATGATGATGATGATGATGATGATGATGATGATGATGATGCTGATGATGATGATGATGATGATGATGATGATGGTGATGGTGATGGTGATGGTGATGGTGATGATGATGATGAGGAGGAGGAGGAGGACGAGGATGAGGATGAGGATGAGGATGAAGATGCTGGAGATGCTGATGATGCTGAGGAGGAGGAGGAGGTGGATATTGCTACTGATGATGGTAATGTTGGTAATGATGATGGTGGTGGTAATTGTGATGCTGCTGATGCAGATCATGATTATGATGCTAATGACGGTGATGATGATGTTGGTGATGATGGCGATGAGGATCTCGATGTTGAGGGTGATGATGACGGCGGCGACGACGATGATGATGCTAATGTTGGTGATGTTCGGGGTGATGATGGTGATACCGATGACGACGATGACGATGACGTCGATGTCTTTGATGACCCTGGTCGTGGTCATGGTACAGTGCCGTTTTAAATACATGCTCCGCGTGCGGATCATGTATTCAAAAATGCAGGGATTCAGTATTAAAAACAACGATGAGTTCATGCATAAATCTATTCATCAATTGATCATGTATAAAAAACTGTTTTTTGTTAAAACATCCCATGCATTAGGACGACCATGATGAGGACGGCACGCTATGGCATCCCGACGCCGCCGCTGCCTCACCCGCGCAGGTCGAGGAGAGCATCCAGGAGGACCGCCGCCCGACGCCTCCCGGGGGGGCCCGCGCGCCCCTGCACGCCTCTCGAGACCGGCGGCCTGCAGGCCCTGCGCCCGCAGACTTGGCATCGCTCGGACGTGCGCATTTTTCCTTCGGCGAGGACCATCGAGGCGTACCCTTGATCATTTGAGGAAAAAACCACGCACGAAACCGAAAAACACACAGGGAATGGACGTCCGAGCGATGGCCAGTTGCACGCCTCTCGAGAGCGGCGGCCTGCAGGCCCTGCGCCCACATAATCACTGCTGACCCGAGGCTGGAGCGTCTGCGCCTCCGCCGCCGGGGTAGAACGACCCTCCTGGACCTCAAGAGGCGACGAGGGCGACGGAGACCGTGACGAGGGCGACGAGAAGGATGAAGACCATGGATTCTGCAGCCACGCCGCTCCCTTCCCAGTCCGATGCCGTCCACGACGTCGTGGACCGCGTTGGAACAAGGCGACGCCGAACGACACGGTGGGGGGTACACACCAGGCACGTGAACAACAACCACGCCCAGGAAGCCCTCGAGCAAGGCTTTGATGGTGAAGCTCACTGCTGCCGACAGTCAGGATCTTGATCGTGAGAAGCGCCGATTTCCGCGATGGGACCAGCAGCAGCGGCAGCGCGGCGAGGATCGTCGCCGGAGGCACCGAGGAGCTGCATCGCCGTGCTGTTGGGCAGGCCTGAAAGCCTAGCCGAACCGCGCGTGCTGGAGCTCTCGCCAGCATTCTCGCACTCACTGTGCGCCCAGTCCACGGCCACAGTCAGACGGTCACGATCTCGGGCTCTGGGGACACTCCGGGATGCCCCATCAGCGAGATGCTCTGAGAATGCTCAAGGCCCTCGGACCGTGACCTTCGAACCCAGGCCCCCTGCGTAGGAAAACAAAATCGCGATGAAAGTTTTGTGGCCGTTTTCGGTCTCGGAGGGATCTTCGGATCGGTTGGGGCCTGAGGGGGATCCCTCGTTCGGGAGGGCAGTCGCGGCTGCACCTCGAAGTCAGACCTCAACTTCGAGGGGAGCCGCGACTGCCCTCGGCGCGGCGGGCCTCCCAAACGAGGGATCCCCCTCAGGCCCCAACCGATCCGAAGACCCCTCCCAGATCGCCGGGCCCCAGGACCGTCAAACAGACGACCCGGGATGAAAAGCCTGCCGTGGGGAACGGGTCGCGGGATTTTGGGAGACCCCGTATTCAACAAATCGATGCCTCGGACGCTTAGTTGCCTCGATACGCCCGTTTTGAAACGCAATACGTCCCGTGTTCAAGATGTCCGTGTCAATACGGTGCGTGTTGGCTCCACGTATCGGGCCACGTTTTGGCGAGTGTATCGCGTCGGACCTACGTTTACAGCCTACGTGTTGAGCTCCGTATCAATACGATACGTGTTGCGTGTTGCGTATCTGGGCAGCTAAGCTCGGACGTCTGGGCTGCCCGCTGGAGGAGGGCGACGAGGAAGTCTTCTCCGAGGAGGCCTTCGAGGAGACCTCCTCGGAGTAGGCTTAAGTCGGGCCTGTCCCACTACAGGAGGAATATTCAAAAATAGTTTAAAAAAGTCTGGGGATTATTGTTTGAGTATTTATGGACCATTTTGGAATATGTTTTGAGTATCTTTTATTTTTCGTCGAAAATCCCCCTGCAGGGGGACACGCCCGACTTAAGAGTAGGCCCATGAACTCTCGAGAAAGCCGACCCTCGGACCGCGATCCTCGAACCAGGAGCACCGACCCTCAAGCCCCGACCCTCGTGCTCCGATGCTCGAAACCCGCCATCCTCGATCCTTCGCCTCGAACGCTCATCAAACATTCGGATCACGATCCTCGACGTGATGATTCTTTACAACGAGCATCCCCAGACGGCTCTCGACCCGTTTCCCAGGACCAGTTTTTCATCCTGAGCTGTTCCGTCGCGGCCCCTGGCCGGGCGAGGGCCCCCCCCTGAGGCCGAGCCCTGCCCGAGAAGAGGCCGCCGTCGGGATGCCTCCGCGGCGCGGGCACGACTGCCTGGGGCGCCCGGCCCCCCCGCCCGAGGAAGACGACGAGGAGCTCTACTCCGAGTCGTCCTTCGAGGAGGCCTCCGCCACCGCGGCCTCGGCCACGCTGGCCTCCGCCACCGCCGAGCTGGCGCAGAGCAGGAGCGGCCGCGGGCCCAGCCGCGAGCCCCCCCCGCGCTCGCAGGCCGCCCGTGCCCGAGCGACTGTGCCGCGCCGTTGGGCCGCGGGCGCCCGCCCCTGCTCCCCTGCCCCTCCCCCCCTCCTGCATGCTTCTCGGCCCTCGCTCCTCGTCGTCTTCGTTCTCCTCCTCTTCATCGCCATCCCTCTCTCCTCCCCCCCCTCCTCCTCCTCCTCCTCCTCCTCCTCCTCCTCCATCTTCTCCTCCTCCTCCTCCTCCTCCTCCTCCTCCTGCTGGTCCGCGGCTAGACCCCGACTGTTTCTGGGCCTTCACCGGTGGGGTTGGGCCCCCGCCAGCAGTTCCAGTCTCGCCGCGCTCTCACAGATGGGTGGAAGCAAGCGCCATGGCAAGTCTGGGAAAGAGCGCACCGTCGAGTCATCGATCTCGCGCTCGCCGTCGCCACATGCGCGGGCTGCTGGTTCTCGTCACCGCGATCGTGACCGTGACAGGGATCGAGATCGGGACCGTGCCCGCGACCATCGTCGCCGCCCCCCCCGCAGTGCAGGAGGCTCCTCGTCTGCTGCCACCCGCCGCTCCCGCAGCCAGGCACGCGGTGACCCCCGTGATGGCGTTCTTGGTGGAGACGCCGGCCACCCCGCAACGCGCGATGCTCCCATGGTTGTGGAGGCTTCCGCTACCAGCACCGCCCACTTCGGCATCCACACGCCGCGCACCGAGGGCGACCAGGACCTCGACATCTCGCCCACCTTCACGGACAGCCAGCTCGCCGAGGTCGACCAGCGCTCCGCCTCGCTGTTGGCTGCCAGCGGCCGCTCGCCAGATGTTGCCCCTTCGTCTACGGCTGGTGCTGGCGCCGCTCCGAGTGGGTTGGTATGTGCTGGACTTGCGCCGCGGCCATCGCCCCCGCAGCAGTCCCCCTGGGCGACGAGCCCTGCCAGTGGTGGCATCCCTGACCCGTTGGCGCAGGCCGCTGCTCGTGGCGGACAGCCATTCGAAGACTGAAGAAGTCGGCCATCGAGGAGTTCACACAGGCTGCGATGGCGGCGCTGGCCACTCGCCTGCCTGAGGCGCTGGCGCAGGCAGCCTTCCCAAGTGTCAGCAATTTCGAGGAGAAGTTCATCGAGCAGATCAGGCGGTTCCGCGACGACATGTCGCGCCAGGACATTAAGATCGCAACTGTGGGCGACCAGTTCTCCGAGTTCAATCACAGATTGTCGCACCCGGAGAAGGAGCTCGACTTGGCCCGCGCCCAGCCCCGCGAGGCCCCCATTACATCGGGTGATTGGGATCGCCCGACTGATCCGACCCTCTTTCAGATTCGACGCGCTAGCGCCATTCCGAAGGCGTCCGTCGCCGACGCGCTCCAGGAGTGGCTGGGCGCGGCCAACCTCCAGCTGGGCGAGCACGCCGAGCTCTTCGGCGACGACCTGTCCAAGCAGTACGCGCTTGCCTTCCTCGGAGCCATGCCCGCGACGCGCGGGAGCAGGCGCCGCCAGGCGCAGCTGCAGCTCCGCACAGGCGCTGGCCGCTGGCGTGCGTTGTCGGTTGCGGTGGGCCCCATCCATGGTCGTGATCTACGTTTCGGTAGACAAGAACAGAAAGGAGGTGGCCATGGAGAGGGCGCTCAAGGAGCTGCGCAAGGGCGCCCTCGACCACTGGGGCCTCCACACCTTTGCCGACCGCGAGAACGGACGCCAGGTGTCGAAATGGGAGCCCCTCGCGCAGGTCCAGGTCAGCCCGGGCTCCCGCATCCCCAAGGTGGAATGGAACCTGGTGGCCCTGGCAGACTCCCAGCACACTTGGGAGGAGGCTACCTCCCTGGTGCAGCGGCTCTTCTGTCACAAGGAGATCACGTGGAATGGGTAACGCGCTGTTCGATGGCGACCAGCCCCGCATCGCGTCGTGGAGCGCCTCCTCGCTGCTGCACTTCGACGGCGCCAAGCTGAGCGCCCGCATGAGGCACCTAGCTCAGCTGGCTTCGTCTTCTACGACTGTTGCAGTCCAGGAGGCGCATGGCGACCAAGCTCAAGTGGAATGAGCTCTTCAACGTTTTCGGGTTTCACACCGTGCCTTCGTGAGTGATAGTGGGGCCCCTCGCGCTGGTGGCGTGCTCGCGCTAGTACCGTCTGTGGGTGCCTTGGACATCTCCTCGGAGGTTTTGGTTCCAGGGCGGGTTCTGGTACTGATGATTGCTTCTCGCACCAGTGGTTTCACGCTGTTCCAATGGAACATTCACAACTTCGGGGTAGCCGCTGATCCACTCCAGCAAGTTCGAGATTGGCTACTTCACAATCGAGCACATGCTCGTCAGCAGCCGGTGTCTGATTTGGTTGTGGTCGCCGGCGGCTTCGACATTGCGGACGAGGACACCGAGCGCATCTCGCCCGGTTCGGGCTCGCCCTTGTCTTCTGCACGCCCTCGAGCGGGTTCCAGGCGAGGCCGCCTGGAACGCGCTGCGCACGGCGGCGCTGGTCAGGCCGACGCGCCTCTTCTGCAGGCCAGCCCGATTTCAGGTGAACGAGGAGCGGTGGCGACATCTGCGATTTCTGCTACGCTCACACAGGCGCAGCGCTTGGCGCCCAGGGCACGCGCGGCCGCCCTGGCGACCGCATCTGGCGGGCACTTTTCAGGAAGATGACGGAGCTCGTCAGCGAAGACTTCTCGCGCTTGGGCGCCAGCTCTGGCGCGTCGTCGAACATTGATCGCTGTTTATCTTCTGCTCCGCCTTGACTTCTCTGCCAAACCCATCAATCTGCTCGGTATGTGCGTGAGCCACAGGAGGGATGTTGCAAGGGTCTTGCTGGCCATGCCGCTCCCTTTGTGTCATGGGGATTGAGTGGCCCATCCTCTCCGTCTCGCCCGCGCCCTCTCCCGAAGTGGGTCTGCGCAGATCAGTGTATCCTAAGATGGTCTCAGACTTGGACGGGTCGATTGATCTATCCTCGTTGAAGTCCGACCCCCAGCGCGCGCTTCTCATGGCCGCTGGTGCGCGTCAGGCTGCGGGAGTTCTTGTTCGCGACATGTTGCTTCGCTCTGCCCCCGCTTCCACCGCTCCCCGTGCGATGATCCGTCGAAGAATTGCCCGCCGTGTGCGGCGCCAAGGTGCTGAGCTGGCCAGGGCGATCACGTTCCAGTTCCAGTGGGCCCAGGAGGTTGTTTCCACCCAGGGGCACCGCGTGGTTCTATCGGACCCGGGTGCTTTCCAGGCCCTCCACGGTGATCTTCAGCGTCAGGAGGCCACTCCCCGACGTCGGGCACTAGACGCAGCTGCAGCGGAGGAACCAGCCCCTGGTCGTCTGCGGCGCCTTCTTCGCCAGAAACGCGCGTTAACGCGTGCCCCCCAGTTTTGGAACCCACTCCGGAGGAGAAAGTTTCTGGCGGCCGTGACTGTCGAGCAGGCCCGCGCCGGGCCCCCTGGAATTCAACCCCAGGTTCCATCCGCCGCGTCTTCTTCAGGCGATGCCAGTGCCACGCTTCTCGCGACGGGTGATGAGGAGATTGCTCGTGCCCTCTTGCCCTACTGGGCCCCATCTTTGGTCGCTCCCACGCGGCCCCTGTTGGCGCCCAACGTTGCCCCGAGAAGTTCACGCGCACCCGGGACTTCACCGACCTGAGGCCCCCCGAGCTTCGCGACGCGGAGCGCTTCCTGTCCATGGCTTCTTGGGCGGCCCCTGGCCCAGGCGGCCTCCGCTATGCGGCCTGGCGCGCAGGGCTTGGGCCTGTTGTGCTCTACGCGGTTCTCCAGTGGATCGCTCGGGACAACCTGATGGGCTCCTCCTTCTCGGCCACGCTAGCGGCGTTCACCCCCAAGCCTCTCAAGACGGGCCCCAACGAAGACGACCTGCAGGGCCTCCAAAGAGCCGCATCTGAGACCCGCCCGCTAGGTTGGAATAACACGGCTAACAAGACGATTTGCGGGGTGAGCAACCATTGTCTACATCCCGTTGTTGGGGCGATCCGGGCTTCCTCTCAACATGGCGGACCTTCCTGATCAACGCTATGGACTTTGGCGCTCACTCTCGGGTTGCTAGTTTTCGGTCACAAGGTTCCCCGCGGACCTCCCCTGCGTTGATAGCTTTCGACTTTGAGCAGGCCTTCCCCTCGATCAGCCAAGGTTGGCTGCAGATGGCCATCGGGGCGCTTCGCCTTCCCCAGCCCGTGAAAGCCGCGCTAAAGGTCTTGCGCCATTGCTCCCCCCGCTACTATGGCGGATCGCCCCTGTCGTTCCTGTGCTGCATGACGTCGGGGGTGCTCCAGGGCTGCCCCCTCAGCGGCCCCCTGTACATCGCGGCCTCCAACGCACTCGTTCTTGACATCGGGGGGAGCTTCCTCCTCCAAGGGAAAATGTTGGGCATTTCTCGGTTCTGTGATGATAATCTTGGGTCAGCGGTGTATCATCCCCGCGCCTTCCCGAGACTTTCCCGTATCTTTCGGCTCGCTGGTAAGTTTGCCAATCTACGACTCAAACGCAAGAAATGCATCGCGGTCCCTCTGTGCGACCCTGGCAACGCATTGGTCGCTTGCGCGCCGCGCTCCTGGCGGCTGACGCCAGCTGGGCCGACTTCACCATCGCCTCCTCAGTGACCTACCTGGGCTTCCAGGTCGGTCCAGGCGCATCGCGCGCAGATCAGCGGCGCGCCCCCCTGGCGAAGCACGTGCTCCGCGCGGCGGAGATCAGCCGGCAGGGCGCGCCGCTCGGGGTGGTGGAGGAGCTCTATCGGACGCGCGCCCTTCCAGTCCTCTCCTACGCGGCCCAGCTGGCGCCGCTGGGATGGCAGGAGGCCCGGGGCCAGCGCGCGCTCATCGCTCGCCTCCTGCGAGCGCCGTGCCCCATGCTACGCGCGTCTGACTGCTCCGCGCTGGCGTGCTGGAACGGACCGAGGTCCGACTCTATGTATGCTATGGCTGCCGCGGCGCTGATGCGCTCCGCGCTGACGACGTGTCCCGCCTGGCGGGAGGGCCTCCGCTTGCTGCGCGTGCAGGTCCACGACTTCGGCACGATGGATCTGCGGCGATACCCGCTGCTAGCGCCCCCCCTCTGGGCCGCTCCACCGTTCGCGTTGTCGCTGCAGTAGGCGGCTGCTGAATGTCCCGGTGACTGCCATCTGGCTGCGGGCGGGGCCGCCGCTCGAGAGCTGTTCGATTGCGACGCCTGCGAGCCCACGCCCGCGCTCCTGGACATCTTCGGGACCGCGCCGCTGCCTGCAGGCCTTGCACGGTCTGTGGATCGCGCTCGACGCGTTGCTGCTGATTACAGGGTCCCAGGGCGCATCAAATGGCAGTCCATATTCCGTGCCATCTTCGCCCGAGCCATCCTCCCCGAGCGCGTCGGCGAGCTGATCAACCGCCGACTCTGCCTGCACTTCCAGCTCAAACCCCCCGATCATGGTGCTCTTCGTCGGCGTCTTCTGCGCGCCCCTCGGGCGCGGGCGACGATTGCGCTCGAGACGTACCTGGGCGGATGGATCACTAACAATCGGATGCAGCGACGGGCCCCATGCATATACGGCTGCTCCCATGGTCGGGATGCGATCGGGCACTACATCTTGCGGCGCCCCAGGAACAGGCACTTCGCGTCGCTGGCTCCGCGCATGGGCTTGCCATGCCTGCCCGCCTTTCGCCTCGGACTTGAATGCGGAGCTCTGGCCTTTTTGGTGGCGCAATGCCATCGCTGCCGTCTCCTCTCGCATCATGTACATGGCGTTGCCGCCTACAGTCAGGCGCGCGAGCTTGTCGAGGCCACTCGTCTTGCGGTTCGCCTCCCGCTCCAACGACGCCAACGACAGTTGCTCCGCCGCTCCGCCCTCTTCGAGGCGGCCCGATTGGCTCGAGCTGCTCGTGGCCTTCCCCCGCCCTCCCCCACGGAGTCGGAGAACGACATGGCTGGGATTCCGGAGGCCAGCCCGACTTCAGGCGATCGAGGAGAGGTGGCGACATCTGCACCTTCTGTGGAGGAGATTCGCCCGAGCCCTACTTCTTCGTCTTCACAGAGGGCTGTTCCTTCATCTTCTCAGATCTCGCCTAGTTCCCAGAGCGCGTCTCCCTCCTCTACCCAGATCTCCCACCGAAGCCAGATTGCCCGATCTCTGGGGATGGGGCCGCCTTTGTGTTCCCAGGTCTGCTCATCGTTGTCGCCGCGGGTCTTGTCATCGTCGTGTGGTGTGCCTCGTTCGGGCGCTGAAAACAGTAAGCCAGCCTCTGCCATCGCTACTGTCCCATCCTTGTCTCGCTCGTCTCCTCTGTTGCAAGCTTCGGCCGCCGAGCTCTTCTACTCCCCCCCGAATGCGGATTTTCCTTGCGCCGCGGGATTGATCGGTGGGCCCTCCCCCCCTCGTCCTCGGCAGCTTGAGCCTCCCTGTCCTCTCTCTGTGGGCCACCGTAATCCTATGGCTGGCTTTGGCCCTCTCGCGGGTGTCCGCACTGGTGATCCCATGCCGCTTCAGAGCCGTGGTTCCTGGAGCTTAACGATCTTTCAGTTTGTGGAGTACGGCGTGCCGCGATCCACGGGGTCTTCCCTTGCTGTTGCTTCCGTTCATAATGTAGATTTTGTTGAGGCCTCTCTTGTGGGCGATGCCTCGCCGATTGATGCCGCCGCAGCTGTTCTCAGCCCCCCATGCGATGTCATGGCGGATGCTGCTGCCCGTGTGCCCGCTGAGGCACAAGGCAGGCCAGGCTCCACCGCCCCCGTTGCGTAGAGCGGCTAGGTGGAGAGACTCGTCCCGCCTGGTTACGCTCTGCCTCCTCCTCCTCCTGCTCCTCCTCCTCCCCCTGCTGCTTCTCCTGCTCCTCCTCCTCCTCCTCCTCCTCCTCCTCCTCCTCCTCCTCCGCCTCCTCTTCCTCCTCCTCCTCCTCCACGGCCACTACTTTTCATGTTCTAATGGCCTTCTGTCCACCGCGCCACCGTGTCTGGGCTGTGGGTATGAAGCCTAGTGGATGTTCAATGGGATCTCGCGCGGGGCCTCTTAGAGGCAGCTTGAAGTCTCTTGAGGGCTTCGGGGGGTCCTCTTAGGGCTTCTTTGCGGTTTCTTTTGGCCCTCTTGGGTAGCCTCTTTGGGCCTCTTGGGGGGCCTCCTGGGCGCCTCTTCGGGCGGCCTCCTTGGGGCCTCCTGGGGCGGAAGGCTCTGATGTTCGGTTCGTGTTCCCTCTTTGGGGCGTTGTTCTTGGTCTATATTGGGCGCCTCTTGGGACCCCCCTGGGCCGTTTTGGGGCCCTCTTGGAGGCCTCTTGGGCCATCTTGGGGTGGTTTTGGGGGCCTCTTGCGCCGTCTGGGAGCGTCGGGAAGCCGAAAACGCGAGAACGCCAAAATATTCAAGAAACCGCAAGGAATCAATGAGTTTGGCCTTTTTCGGGTGCTCTTGGGAGGCCTTTTTGGAGGCCTCGTTGGGCGTCTTGGAGGCCTCTTGGGCCGCCTCGGGGCCAGATTGAACGTTTTGGAGCGATCGTTCGGCGACCCAGGGCACTCTTGGACCGTTTTGGAGGCTTCGTGGGGCCCTCTCGGCTCGTATTGGGGCCGTCTTGGGCCCTGAAAGCTCATGCGACAACACTTGCCGGAGACCAGAGGGCACGCGGGAAGCCTTGGGAGGCTTAAGAGCGAGGGGTCCGTGCCCCTTAAAGATTCTTCCGGAGCGAGGATTGAGACTCGGAGGATTGGGCCCAGGACCCGAGGATACGCCCACTCCGTGCCCAGCGGCACGGTGGCGAATCAATAATTCCTCCATGTAGCACCCCGAGACGTGTAGGCATTGCAGGCAGGGCGTTTCGCCTCAGACACCCTCAAACTTTTGGACCCTTGCGCTGGACATGTGCCAGAGTTTCACGGATGGTGGGCGGGGCGCTTTCAAACTGTGGTTCTCGCCTGAGCACCGCGCACATCTGTTTTGAGAGTAGGAGTTTGCAATTGTTCCAAGGATTATCATGGCTAATGTCCCAAACACTGTGCTTTGGTCGGTTTGTCATGGCGCAGCAGTCACGTTGTTTTTTCGATGCCGAAGTCCCAGTCATGGCATTCGGGCGCGATTCAAGGTCGCCAAGACGCAACAGTAATGATGATTCGCGGCTGAAGTTCCAGGAGTAGTGTTCTGGGGCGGTTCCGGATTTTCGAACAGTTGCGTTGTAACGGGGCACTTCAGTCAAAGTGAGTCTGTACAGGGGCCTATGAAGAGGGAGCGTGGAGGGAGGGTTTATTGCAACATTGTTGGTGAGATTTGGGTTTACACTGGTCCTCTTCCGCCTCCATCCATCCATCCATCCATCCATCCATCCATCCATCCATCCATCCATCCATCCATCCATCCATCCATCCATCAGAGGGAGGCCCTCGGCGCCCTCGCCTTCCCTTGGTAGCGGGCACCTCGGGTGTTGCTGGAAGTGGCCCTGGCCCCAAGGTGCCCTCTTCTCGATCCTTCTCGGCGGGTGCCATGGCGTCGGCACGCCCCAGGCCTTCGACCATTGCCCTGGGGGGCCAGGTATTCTTCTCCCGGGTCGTTGTTGTGAGAGTCCCGCGGCTTGCGCACGGCCTCCGCGAGGCTGGCATAGGGGGCC